GAGGAGTGCATGGCTCTAGAGATATCCTCATACATTTCCTCCACCTCCTCATCGGGGTGTGCCGAGGTTGGTGCGTAAACCTGTATGACCTTCAGCGAATACCGTTTGGTGATTCTGAGTATAAGGTACGCAACCCTCGCCGACACACTCCCGATTTTTACAACGTTGTTAACGAGAGACTTGTGGACGATAAATCCGACACCTCCTTGGGACAGATGGTCGCCCTCCCGGTGATAGAGCAAGTTGCCGGATTCGAGGATTACCGTGTCCTCCCCCTCTCTTCGGACTTGGGATAATCCTATAATATGCCAGCGTAACTTGTCTATCTCTTCTTCCAGCTCCACGATCTTCTCGTCAGTCCTCAGGGTGCGTGCGTTGTATGTTGCCAGGTCGAGTCGTCGTAGGTGGCAACCGAACCTCCACCGGAGATTCTTAGCACCCCCTGCCCCGCCGTTACCATGGTCGCCACCGTAGCCAGGAATAGCGGGGCCGCCGGGGACTGGGGGCCGTCTCTTCGTAACTTTCATCATGGGGGGTATATTGCCATAGTTGCCACGCTTGGCGAGCGGGTTGGCAACCGCAGTTTTTTTATTGTATTTTGCTATTACCAGGAAGATGCTGCTGCCCATCTCCTGCCTGTTTCCCTTTGTCGCCTTTTACGACACCCACGGGAAGATATATAGGGGTAGTGGATATTCTTGACCGCCACTACACGGCATTCAACTCTGCAGAAACACCAAACAGAGAGTCAACTACAAACGAACAAAGAAGAATAAAGAGGCTGATCCCACTTGGAAAAAGAACAAAGCTACAGTGAAATATCAGGCGCACATGACGACAAAGAAGCGGTCGCCAGAAGACATAAAGCCGCTAATGGTCTCAGCCGAGCTGCTTAAGACAGCTGAAGAGCTTCTGATGCGATCCTCCCAAGAAGAATCCTTTGCGGAAGAAATAGACAGCCTAAACAGCGGGAAGCCGATCAATAAGGAGAGCCGCCTTCGCCAGCTCAGCGTCGAGTCAATAAACGGCACACTACGACTTAGAAGTCGTATTCGAGCAGTCTGCGACATGGAGGAAAAATTCAAGAACCCGTTGATAATTGACGGTGATCATCACACAGTCAAGCTCTGGGTGCAGGCTATACATCGGCAACTCCATCACGTCGGTGTAGAAGCCACAGTTAACGAGTGCCGGCAGCAGTATTGGGTACTGAGACTGCGCCCTATCGTACGCACAATACTACGAAAATGCCTATTCTGCAGAATGAAGACGCAAGTACCGCCGCATCCGAGAACCGGGGACCTGCCAACGTGTCGCTTAGCTCACCACAAGCGCCCCTTCACCTACACCGGGGTGGACTATTTCGGACCTCTTTCGGTGACCGTCGGACGAACTCGACAAAAGAGATATGTGGCCATTTTTACATGTCTCACTACGCGAGCCATACATCTAGAAGTTGCCGGCTCACTTAGCGCTGACTCCGCGGTAATGGCCATAAGGCGGATGATCGCACGGCGAGGCTGCCCGACAGAAATATGGTCAGACAACGGCACCAACCTGAAGGCAGCCGATAAGGAACTACGACAGGCGGTCGACGCAGCGACCGCAGAAGAAGCAGCAAAAAGGACTATCTCCTGGCGCTACATCCCGCCTGGAGCTCCATTTATGGGCGGAGCCTGGGAGCGAATGGTTCGCTCCGTCAAGACCGCTCTTATCGCGACGTTGCACGAACGTCATCCGACGGAGGAAGTCCTCACGACACTACTGGTAGAAGTGGAATACACCGTCAACAGCCGACCGCTGACTCACGTCTCAGTCAGTCCAGAGGATCCCGAAGCTCTCACTCGTAACCACTTCTTGTTGGGAGGACCGGGACGAGTACCACAGCTAGGCACTTTCACCGAACGAGACGCCCTCTCACGGTCAAGTTGGCGAGCTGCGCAGAGGCTAGCCGACACCTTCTGGTTACGCTGGGTGAAGGAGTACCTCCCTGAGCTTCAACACCGGCGGGAGCCCCACGGACAAGGCCAAGCAGCACGCGTCGACGACCTCGTACAGATCGTCGATCCCAACCTGCCTCGCAACGTGTGGATACGAGGAAGAGTCATCGCTACATATCCGGGTCCCGACAACGTCGTGCGGACTGTGGACATGCTAACTAAGGGAGGTGTCCTACGCCGGCCAGTAAGGAAGCTTGTGATCCTGCCTCTATCTACGGACGTCGAGCCCGCACCGGAAGCTGATGCCACGCGGTCGCACGGCGGGAGTGATGTGCGGGACAAGAGAAAAACAAATAGTGATACATAAATAAGACAAAAACATTTATATTAATGGAATAAATATTATAGTTAGTTTGTACTTAGATAGGATAAACATTTATATTAATAGAGATTATAGTTTAGATAGGATATAAGCATTTTATGTTAAGAAAATAATAGTGTAGAGCTTATATTTGTGTAATAAAATTAGTTGGTCACTTTGTATAACAGAACTAGCTTAAGGTAAACAATGTAAACAATGACTCAGTAAGATATAGAACTAGCTTAAGACAAACAATGTAACGGGACTCAGCATCGTCACTTGCTCTGTCACGCCTCGCGCTGATTGGTCGACGCCATTTGTACAATGCGTCGGCCGTATCCATTGACCCAGCCCGAGGCGGTATAAAAGAGGGGCGATTTTCGTCGTTCGACACAGTCGGCGGCCAGCTACCTCAAGGAAAACACCAAATATAGAAGAAAGAAAAATATCGCAGCGGTTTTATTCTCCACCAATCCAGCACACAAATGTGCCTGTAGGGTACAAAACTAAACTGAATTACTTAAAAAGAAAACCGTACAGACCTGGATGAAGGTGTATTGAATCAAATGAAAAGTGTTAACGTGAGTGAAAACGTTATCGCTCTAAACAATATTTCAAGAAGGAAATGTAGGCAGGCAATTGCTTCCAATTCTTGCAGCTCTCTCTATCGCACGATACGGCAATACGGAGCAATAGGTATGAAACAGATAGCATATTTGAAAATATTTCACTGAAGGCACTTCACAATCCTCTTAAATAAAGATATAACGTAAACACTTTTTCTTGATAAAAAAAATTAATATTTTTGGTTCGATTTACGCAGAATAAACTTACAGTATCTTGAAGTCTTATACCACTGGTATGCTTGGGTTTGGATTTAATTTCCTTAATTATAGGATCCCAAGCAGATGGCAGCACTCATCCATCTTCTCTATTGAAATTAGGATGTTTTTTAATTTCAATAGCCTCGCGTATCATCTTTGGTAGGAATCGGTGTTCTTTTGCGAGGATTTGTGGTCTATCAAATCTGATGTATTTAGTTTAGTTTAGTTTAGCTTACGACGGGCTGTTTTCCGCAACTCCACGTCTATGCGCGTATTTTGCGTTTGGGCAGGAATAATGTGATTATTCGAGCCATGAGATCTCCCCGAAGAAGCTTAACAGTCCTTTGATGTTGCATGCAACTTCGGGGAGTGATCCCGGCGTGCCGAGATGTTTAGCCCTGTACGTAGCGACCTCCGGACATTTCAGTAGCACGTGGGCCGCCGTTTCTTCCTCCCCCATACGTGCCCTGCACAGGGGACTATCTGTAACACCTGTAGTAAATAAATGTTTGTTAAGGGTGCCGTGACCTATGATAGCACTTGTTACTATCCTGACCTGGGGCTTGTTCAGTCTCATTAGAACTTTGGTTAAACGACTGTTTATTTAGATATGTCTACTAGATTTTTCCAAAGCTGAGCGTGTTGATTAGTGAAGTGTCTACGTACCAGTGAACGAACGTTACCAAAGGGGATTGGTATGATTGGTTCCGGCCTTATAGTGGCCAGAGCTGATCCTCTTCTGGCCAGTTCATCTGCTGTATCGTTGCCTCTGGATACACTGTGTCCCTTTAGCCATCGCAGAGTCACATTGTTGCTTTTATATACCTCATTTAATCGTTGATGGCATTCATATATTAGTCCCGAGTTCACCACATTGCAACTCAGAGCTTGTAGTACCGCCCTACTATCGGTCAATATTCTGATGGGGAAGTCATTAACCTTCCTAGCATCTATTGCTATGACCGCTTGAATGATACCCATACATTTCGCCTGAAAGACTGTGTTATAGGTACCCAGCGGTTAGCATATGTGGATATTGAGATCTTCAGAGAAAGTTACAGATCCCAACTTTCATTTGTTTTAGCCGTATGAGGGACACTTTTTTTTATAGGGTAGGGTGACAAACGAGCACACAGTCCATCTGATAGTAAGTGGTTGCTGTGGCCCATAAACCTCTACATCTATCCTCAATAAAAAGTCAAAATGCAGATGCGTTGTCACCCGTGAGGACTAAGATGGAATGCCTCTTTTCCAGTAAAAAGGGTCTCCGGTTCTCTACACTCACCATACGAAACACAGCAGTGTTAAGCTGCTATTTTACGCTGGTATTCTGTGAGAGCGTGGTCCTTCCCCGGTCGAACCGACCCATTCGTGCTACAACTATACTATTAATATAGCTGCAGCATGGCTCTACCACGTTGAAAAAATTCAAACACTATTCTTACTCAAAAGATTTAGGGTCTTGAGTCTGATGGCAGCTGAAGTCGCTTCTTGTTGTATATATAGATGGCGCGGGGTTAGTTCCAGCATCGCTTCTATGGCTGCTGTTGGCGTAATCCTTATGCAGCCTGTGGCAGCCATACATTCCAGTATCTGGGTAGCGCTGCAGCTTCTTTATAGTGGTGACTTCATTTGTCTTGGTCCACCATATCAGAGCGCCGTATGTGATCATGGGCCGAATTACAGTTTTATACAGCCACAGTATTATTTTTGGCCTCAGTCCCCATCATTTGCCAATCATGTTTCTGCATTGCCAGAAAGTTATACTAGCTTTTTTGATTTTGTTTTCTGTGTTTATTCCAGTTAAGTTTGCTGTCCAAGGTAAGACCTAAATATTTTACCTCAGAGGATAGTTGAAATTTTGTGCTGAAAATTTCAACTAGGGAGATGATAGTTATTCAGCATTCGTTTTTGTGTGAACAGAACCGTTTTATTTGGATTGATGGTTAAATCGTATTCCCTGCACCGTCTCCCCACTATACGGAGAGCCGCTTGGGTCAAGTCGCACACTATGCTTGCTGTCTTTCCAGAGCTCAGTATTGTCAGGTCATCAGCATAACCTACTGTGTAGAAGTGATTGGCATTTAATTTGCTGATGAGTTCATTAATGACCATACTCCACAGGAGAGGTGAGAGAATCCCACCCTGCGGGTAGCCTTCCTTAATTTGGATTGGTTGAAATTCACCAACAATCTTTATTATTCGTGTACTGAGCATGTTAACTATCCAGTCAATCAGTGCCGGTTCAACTTTATGTCTACTGAGTGCACCTTTTATGCTGGAGAAGTTCTTCCTGTCAAAAGCACCTTCTATATCAATGAAGGAACCTAGACATATTTCTTTGTTTTGGATGGCCTCATCAATCTTTGTTATTACCTGGTGAAGTGCCGATTCTGTTGATTTGCCTAAACTGTAGGGGTGTTGCTTGTCGTGTTGTGGTAAGTTCATTAGCACCGACCCCCTTAATTCCCTTTCACACATCCTCTCCATCGTCTTTAGGAGAAAGGATGTGAGGCTAATATGCCTGTAGGATTTAGGGTCTGTGTAGTCGCTCTCACCTGGTTTGGGTATGAACGTGACTTTCACTTCCCTCCATCCCCTAGGAACATATTTAAGAGCCAGACAGGCTCTCATTATGGCAACAAGTCTGACTATTAGGGCTTTACCCCCCCCCCCCCCCCCCACTGTAGGAGTGCCGGGAATATGCCGACAGGTCCTGCCGCCTTATAGGGGAGGAAATTGTGAATGTCTCAATGGATTTTGTTCATCATTACCACTCTCTTTGCTAAATTCCAGTCTTCTGCTGTTGGTGTCAGTATGTCGTCACGCCGGTTTGCCTCCTGAGTTACGCAGCAACCTGGGAAGTGCGTTGGGCTTCATCCTCGTAACTATGGCTTTGGTATCCATAACTTCCAGGTTATTTTCTGCCTCTTTGCTTGGTGAAGTGTCAAAGAATTTACCTCCACGACCCTGAAATTTTACGTAAACTGCCCCACATACACATGCGAGACGACGTCTGGCTTTCATCAGGGTCGGGATATGATCCTCTGGCACCGAAACAACAAGGTACTGACCGTCCGTCTGCTTATCTGCCTTGAGTAACAGCCAGTCCCTGATGTTAATCCAGCGGTTCTGGTTTGCCAGCACACGAACAATATCGCGTGAGTCTTTCCAGGCTCCCTGGGCATCAAGGATAAGAATACCACATTTGACTCTTTGTGGTATCTCCAACTGTTTCTTCATGATCAGCGAGGTGTTGGATTTGAGATAGAGGGTAGCAATATTCCCCTTCAACCAATCCTTCAATCCAATCCAGAGCCTTCTGATCGTCGCACCACAGTTTCAGAACACCCTCCGTATAAACGCGTTTGCCTCTAAAAACTGGGCCCGACGCATCAGTATCCTGGCTACTCCAAGCCTCACTGATTATCTTCCTCTGTATTTCCACGAGGATGTCGTCTGCTACTTCCTTCGTAATGTGACCTGAACACGCACACGTTAAGGCCACACCCAAATCTGCTTCAGCAGCGGAATCGTAGCGTGTTCTTGCAGCCTTTGGTTGCTGTTCGAGTTGCACTTTTTTGTGCTCACCTCTCGGTGGGGTGGACTCTTTCAGCATCCTTTTGAATGCTCTTTCCTTCTTCCCAGGACGCTTGGCCGCTTGCTGCTTCCTGGCGGATATCTTAGAGCTGATTCCCGCGGCCACGACTTCCACTTGGGCTGGATGCGGTTCCACAGTTTTGTTACTCACGGGCTCTTGCTCCTTTTTCTCGTTCAGCTCCGAAATCACACTAGTTCACAAACTGCAGACTTCCCAGATTGTCAGTGTTTCACGTCAGCCATATGTTCTTTCACGCGGGTTTTAATGAATCTCTTTGTTTGTTCTATGTAAGAGAGACCTGTAAGAGAGAAACGTTGGGAATTTAAATAGTAAATTAAACGCGATAAAATCCGTAAAAAATAATTTTATTCAATGTGCACTAAATTAGTTAAAACATACAACCATTATAGAAAAATGGGTGTGGCTGCAATTGGGTCTGCTTACAATATACTTCCCATTTAGTAACTATTTGTAAATTTTTGGTTTGTTGTTATAAAAAACTGTAAAAAAAAATGTGTTAAAAATGTATCCAACGAACAACGCCGCTAACAGATGTGATGTGTCATTGTCATGATCATCATTACAGCCCTTCACAAGTTCACTACTAATCATAGGTCGCCCCCAAGGAATACCGCAAACCGCGGTTATGAACCACTACTGACTTCCTGCATGTTGTTTTTTTTTTAGTTACGTGGGAAAATGCCTACGCAAACTCGCCTTGCGGGAACAAAGAGGATTTATAACGGACTCGCACCGATTAAAACACGATGGTGCTCTACCTTCGTCGCATATTGACACGGGAATGCTTTCGCACACAACCGCGGCCCCACCAGCGGCAGCCACAAAAGGGCGGCCGCGGTTTTTTTTGAAAACTTTTTTTGAGCTCTTTTAAATAATTTTCTTTACTTAATAATACAGTAAAATAACGATTAATATAACAATAAAAAGCGGCTAATGTATGTTACCACGGATGACACGATGACGCAGGGATGACCGTCTCGGGGTTTTCGATTAATTTGGAAAACATGCAACGACTCTTTTCTTGTTGTTGTTAAGTCGAGGAAATTAAAGGAAAAATCTTGTTCCAATTCTAGCTTAAATTTAATTTTATCGTGGACACTATTTACTTTATTAAGGAAACTATTCAGTTGTCTCCTTGTGCCAGTTCAGCAAATAATTATGTAGTCTACATATTTATAATAGTATAAGATATTTTGATCGACAACTATATGTTTTTCAAAATTATCCATGATTAAATGTCCGCCATAAGACGGCTTAGAGGGGACCCCGTAGGTGACCATTCTTCTTGGAGATAGAAACGGTTATTAAACCAGAAGTAGTTTTGTTTAACCATATGTTCCCAGTGATCCATTTTTGGAACGGTAACATTGATATATTTTTTTGAAGATATAAATTGCAAATCAGTATTTTTTTTGCGTACGGGTAACACTGAATTATTTGTCTGTCAAAAGCGCGTGCCACAAAGTGTATTTCGCGCGGATTTTGATTGTCAATTATTATTTTGTTGCCAATAATTTTCAGATACATAATAAATATTAATAGTATCTAGAATACTTTTATATATCTTAAAACTTATTGACTGACCTATGTATATATATATGTGTGTCGGAGCATCTATAAAATATCACTTGGATGGAGGTCGACATGAGGGTATATCGAGAAACTCCCACTTGTTTGTGCAGTATAAAGTTCACTGTAGGTGCCGTGCGCGGGAGATTCCGCTTAAGTCATTCAACGAGTGTGGTCATTCTACTAGTGCTAAGATAGTGTCGTGGTTCTGTTCGTTGTTGTAATTCTTCTAGTCCAGGCAAGGAGGATTGGTGTTGCTGAGAGGCTGCGATGTGTTACATTGTGATAAGTAGTGTTGCTGTTGGTTTACATATTTTGGTGTTATCATGTTATTACTTACCTCACGTTACACTGGTGTGTGATTGTGGCGGAGACGTATTACGGTGTGGTCGAACTGTAATTTCACTATACTGAATGTATAGTGCGTTACGTTGTCTTATTACTGATAATGATTAAACTGCGTAAGCAAGAGAGCAAGTTGAACATCCGCTCTCATACTTTTATTATTTTACAACTAACGTTATCTTGATATATTTCTGAGGCCACAAAGTGGAACCCTCTGTTGTAATCTTCCGACATATACAAATTGCATGCTTTTTTTTAGATTAACGGTAAATGACATAATTTCGTATTTAGAAGATGATGACGATGTGCTGGAAGCTAACCTGTATATAATTCCTCCGAAAATTTTGATAAGAGCGACGAAGACAGTGGTAATGGAGAATATCTACTGTTATCAACTGCTTGTCACGGCATCAGTTATTAGCAGCAGCAGAACTTAGAGCCAAGGTATCTGTAAAGGGACGGATAGAGGAAATACATCAGCAAGAATCTCCAAGCACTTCAAAAACCCACCTCCTCAAAAACAAAGTAAGCGTACGATTATCGAGGAAATGGCGAAATATGGATATGCCACAATAAACACAAAAACAATGGACACCTCCAAGTTTCTTGCAAGATTTTTTGAGTTGCTTTATGATGAAGAGGTAATCGAATTACTGCGGTCACAGACAGAACAAAATGCAAAGCAGGAAGGACACGTCAATTTCAAAGTTAGTTCTGACGACATCAAGCGATTCGTAGGTATCCTATTATTATCTGGCTACTATGGTGTTGTTCGATACAGAATGTGTTGGGAGCAAAGCATTGACTGTCATCATCCTAGTGTAGCAGTATGTATGTCAAGAAATAGGTTTAAAGAACTACTGCGATTTTATCACGCATGCGACAACACTAACCTACAGCCAGGAGACAGATTTTGTAAGGTACGCCCTTTGTGGGATCTCCTCAATCGAAGATGACTCAAATATTTTCCAGGCGACAGAAATTTGAGTATAGACGAGTTGATGGTCCTACACTTTGAAAAACATCCCACTAAACAATGTAAGCCTATAAGGTAAGCCTAAAAGATTCGGCTACATAGCATGGGCTATTTGTATTCGATTGGGTTACCTAATTTATGCAGAACTATATCAAAGAGCTAGCACCGGAAACACACATCCATCCCTTGGAATCAGCGGATCTGTAGTTCTTGATCTGATATCAAAACTTCCATCTGGTAATTACAGCTTCTATATGGACAATTTTTTACCTCACATACCATGTACGACACGTTACCACGGGAACCATCAGGGGAAATAGAGTAGAAAATGCCCCACTAAAAGATACAAAAGACATGAAAAAAATGAAAAGAGTTTCATATAGTCAAACCACAGATGTGTCATTAGATATAACGTAAGATACAACGATAACAATATCGTAACAATAGCGCCAACTGAGTGTGGTGTGGGACCAGTAGGGAAAGTAAAAAGATGGTGCGATAAACAGAAGAAAGAAGTGGACCAGCCACGCTGTTTCATAAATTATAACAAATATATGGGAGGCGTCGATCGATTAGATCAAAATATTGGCTGTTATAGAATTGACATAAGGTTGAAGAGATGGTACTGGCAACTGCTCATGTTTCCTCTCTATGTAAGTATAAATAATGCTTACCAGCTGTACAGGTTGTCGCCGACTGCTAAGGAAAAAGATTCCCATGACCTATTGTCCTTCACCAGGTATGTGTTTTAGTCTTACTTTATGAGAAAATCCGTAACGATTGACAGCACATCATTCAATGGCACGATAACAAAAGCAAAATATGTACCCAAATCTTCATTATTTGTCATAAAACGGGTCCCTACAAGCATTCGATTAGATCAAAAGGACCACTTCATGGTGGATAGCGGCAAGCAGAGCCGATGTGGATTATGTCGTAAAACTACTATGAAAAAAATTGGCAAACGTGCGGTTGCTTGGCATGCTAAATGCTCAGAAGTATTTCATACGAGCCCGTAATATTATAACATTTAAAATATTTTAAATATTTTTTTAATAAATTTATCTTAATTACTACTTATCAAGCTTTTATTTGATCTCCTTCAATTTCTATCGAAAAAGAAAATACATCAGCATATGTTCCCAATGTTCCATTAATGGATCGGTATTGTAATTCAAAAGGTCAATTACCGATATTTTTTTAATTGTTTGAATATGTTACTTTGCCCTATAGCATAATCCTATGTAAAAATTAAAAAAAAATATAGGATAAGAATTTATAGTGTTGAGAAGTTATGGGTTAATACACAGAGAGGTTAAGTTAAGAAGGTCAATTATTTCCGCGGGATGTAGACGACGTTTATTAAAGAGATCTGCGAGTATACGCAAACAGACAGGGGATGGGACATTTGTGAAAATAATATCAACGTCTAAAGTTAATAACATGGACTTAAGAGGAATGCGGATATGTTTAATTTTGAAAACGCGATCTAAACTATTTTTAGGCTGTAAGTTGGGTTGAAACCAAATTTCTCCCGAAGGAGGATGTTTAATTTTGTAGCAAGAAAATAAGCTGGTGCACCTATATATATGAGAAAAATGGACGAATCGAAACATGTTCTTTATGTATTTTAGGCAAAGACATTTAAGTAACCCATATGAAATGGGTGCTTGCGGATTAATTGGAACAAGATTGCTCTGAGACAAGTTGTGATCGAGAAAAACATATGATGACTGTTGTAAACATACATTAATATCCGAATTAAACATTTGGTTGGATCAGACTCCAATATCTCAAAGTCATCACTTTGAATAACATCGTTAATGTTCTAGCTTCACTTATCTTCACGCACAATCCCTGACGGAGTAGCCAGAGAGAACAGATCGCCAAGTGTCACGATCCTTACAAACCTCTTTCGCTTCTTTCAGATTCATTATCTTCTTCATGCATGCACGTCTAGGTATCCGAGTACTTTTGACCCTACCCTCTTCGAGCAATTTGCTCACATGGTCTTCGAAAGTTAGTCTCGGTCTACCTCGACACCTTTTAATATTAAGTTTCGCGCTATATATTTTCTTCACCATTCGGTCTTCACTCATTCGCTCAACGTGCCCAAACCACCGAAGCACGCCCTTATCAATATTTGTGATAAGGTCATCTTTCAAACCTGCCATATTGCGAATCTCTTCGTTTCGCTTTCGGTCGGCCATGGTAACGCCGCACATTTTACGAAGAGATCGCATCTCCACTGCATTCAACTTACTTTTATGCTTCTTCTGGCATACCCAGGTTTCGCTGCCATATAACAAAGTCGGTACCAACACTGCGTTATGTATTGCAAGGCGTGCACTCTTCGCTACGCCTTGCCTTTTGACTAACGCAGTCAGGGCACCATTGACTTTGTTCCCGCCAGCGACACGCCTGTCCACATCTAAATCACATCTTCCATCCCGGCTAAAAGCACTCCCCAAGTATACATGTTCTAGCTGTACCCCGCTATTCTCAAAGAAGTTCTGGCTGTACCCGCTATTCTCAAAGAAGTATTCCGAACCAATAATAACTGAATTTAAGCAAAAAACAATTATAAATATTAAAATCTAAACCTATGATATAAATTTGATTAAATTTCAGAAAATATTTTCATCATGAAAGGAGTTGACAAACAAATGTCATATTTTTCTTCTTTTAATTCATGGCTTCTTTTAATAGAGTTCTGGTAATGTTAAATAATTTAATTTTAATCCATTAATAAGTTAATTAATTGTGCATATGTATGTAATTATACTTTAAGGAGCAAACCCAAAAAAAGTTTAACACAGAATTAACATTTTCAGTTTCTTCCGATATAATATTATGTATTTTTGTATCTAATTTTTAAAATGGCAACCTGAAACAACGCAAAAGAAAGACATAGCGATATTTGTTTCTCGCTTTAATTGTATACGCCCAATCCACACATAGACAAAATTATGTTTATGTGCAAATTTCTCACATTTCATACAAAGTTGGATCAGCCTGATTTTACGCAATGCAGATTAAATTATGTGATATATTTTATTTATTAATCGCTACAGTGTTGGTTTTAGTTTCGATAAAATTTAAAATGTGAATTTTTAATATTCTCTCCGAATTTTAATTACGTTCAAATATATACATAATGATTTATGGTGCAACAACATTTTTGCCTACAAAAGGACCCTTACAAATATGTGCGTGCACAAAAACTTTCTTTGCAAATTTGGCCGCTTATTGCAAAACAATCCTGTATAAAACGTTAAAAGTTTTTTGGGGCAGGGGCAAAGTGAGAAATTTCCAACTCGTTGGCTACTTTGAGATTTATAAAAGGCATTTTAAAATATTATGAGAATATTAATGATAATACTTAGTGGCAACAAAAATTAAAAAATTGAATTTTCCATAAAAATTGCAATCCGTTTGAATCAATTGGTTATAGTATGGAAAACACACTACGTTTCACATTTTATCGGGCTAGACAGGTTAAAAACAAGGTTTCAGTGGCACTTGATTTTTTATTTTGGTAATGTATTGATGTAAGAACTGTTTTTGGACCTGATAAACAAATAAAATAAAATAAATAATTTTGCAGCATGTAACAAAACATCGAAATTTAAAGAGAAAATTGAAAAAAAATTAATACCTTGGATGAGAGCAGAAGCCTAAAAGTGTGCTAGAGTGAAGCTCGCGCCTCAGACCACATTCAAAAATGTGTAATATGATGGAATCTGTGTTTTTTTGTGAGTTAAATGAGTTTTTAAGAAATGAATCTAAACAACTGATTCGTGTAAAAATGCAGTCACTTAATAATATATAACTAACTTCTTAATAAAAACATAAAACGAAAGTAAGTTATACTTCACTATTCTAGTATCCAGGTTGAATTTCAAATATCATGACGGTAAATGTCAAGGCCAGTACAAGTCTCCAACGCACATTTTTGAAGAAGCGCTTATTCCTCCTCTCACTTTTGTTGCAAAATCAATGACTTACACATTAACTATGCTCGTGCTAACAGTGACCCAATTTTATTTTATAGAATATTTTATTTTAATTTTTAATTATTGAGATCCAATTAATTAATTAATTTTAAAAGAAAGAGACGATTCTGTCTTTGAATATTCGCAATTTTAATGTGGCGATTATAAACAAGATGCGGAAATATTTAAACTCTTTTATTTAAAACTTTACTGAAATGAAAATGGTTAAAATGGACTAATAAATAATTATATTTTTAAGTTGATCATATAAGTATGTCACAGGAAATTAAGCACGAAAACATTTGCTGTCGAACTGACACTTGCTGAATTTTGTACAAATTTTCTACCTAAACTGCTTTGTTTAATTTGATTTTATTTCTTGTTATTTTCTTAAAATGTATTTTATAATAATGCTTAATATTTATTATTCTCTTGGGTTTTTATTTCCTATACATAAAATTAATCTATACAAGAATGGTTATCTAATTTCAAGAACCTGGACACGCCACTCAATGGACGGTAAGGATGATAATATTGATGATGTTGATTATGATAATGATTAGCTATATACGCCAACTGTATTATATTATGACAAAGGTTCCTGATGGATATAAAAAAATTGCAATGATCGAAAAAAGATAACTTCATGGTGATACAATTATTTAGATTATTTAACAGTGTACGTAAATGTCCTTAAAATAAGAATTAATGTGATAGCTAAGGAGTTAAGAAATTTAAAATATATATATATATATATATATATATATATATATATATATATATATATAATTTTTTAAGTAAATGCGTATACAAACATATTTTTATTCAAATTTATTTTATGAGGGTTTTACTAAACGTGCGTTAGGCTAGGATTTATTACAGTTCACCAAATAGTAAAATTGATTAATATCATATTCAATAACATTATCTTGAGGGAACTGCACGTCTA